TGTTGCTGCGGGAGAGGAGGGGACGCATGCTGCCAGGTATAAGGGAAGACTCGGGCTTGCTGCCGGTGTCAATAGAGAGAACATCGAATCTGCAGCAGCAGCAGCAGCAGCAACAGCAACAGCAGCAGCAACAAACATGCAACAGCAGCAGCAACTCCAACAACAGCAGTAACAGCAGCAGCAAGTGCACCACAATCACTAGCAGCAGCAAGTCCACTACCACAGCAGCAGCACGTGCAACAACAGCAGCAATTGTAGCACAGGCAACAGCAAGTGCAGCAGCAGCAGCAGCAGCAGCAGCAGCAGCAAGTGTATCTAACCTGAGAGGAGGTCTGCTACCATCAAGGAGTAACAACTTTTGCTGCGGCAGCAACCCCACCGCTCTTGCTGTTATAAGAGAGGCACCAGCAAAGGAGCAAAGAGGCAACAAATCAACAACCATATCCTTAAGGGGTAAATCTCCTGTTATATATCCTAAAGAAAAAAAAAAAAAAAAAAAATTTAAACCATAAACCCTAAACCCTAAACCCTAAACCCTAAACCCTAAAAAACTGTAAAACTACGAATGTAAATATATGCATATATTTACTAATGTTTTCTTGTTATTTATTACTTATATTCATCTATTTAATTAGATCTATTAAATGGTATAAATAAATCCTGTATTGGATAATTAATTGTTGCTGTAGAGACAGCAGCAGCTACTGCTGCTGCTGCTGCTGCTGCTGCAGCTGCAGCTGTTGCTGCAGGAGGAGGTACTACCGACCTGGTATCATAGCACTGTATAGGACTTCTGTCGTCTCTGTAACAAGCAGCAAGGAGACAGCAGAGACAGGCAGCTCGCCTGCGCTGCTGCTGCTGCAGTCATCATCTGCAGCAGGAGCAGCAGCAGAATCTTTACTGAGTATAGATCTTAGTACTGCTGCTGCAGTCTTATCAGTAGATGCAGCAGCAGCAGCAGCAGATTCCTTTGTTTTATCTGCTGCTGCTTCCCTCTTCCTTCTTAGACCCCACAGACGCAGCACATCAAGGTGTGCCTGTCCTGCCCCTACAAGCACTACTTGCCGCTGCAGTGCTTGGTTTGCTGCTGCTGCTGCTGCTGCTGTTGCTGCTGCTGGTGTTAACTGCTGCTGCTGCTGCTGCTGCAGTTGTTACTGCTGCTTCTTCTTATTAATAACGGATTCTTGCGGTGGTAAGGGGGAGGAAAGGTTCTTCTTCCCTTTGGCCCCGCCACTGCTGCTGCTGCTCGCGACGCGGATACGGATGCTGCTGCTGCTGCTGCTGCTGTTGTTGCTGCTGCTGCTGCTACTGGCGATAGGTTAAGAAAAGATGCAGCAAAAGACACACAGCAAGGAGACCCTCAAACCTTTGCAAGCCGCTGCTAAGGACAGGCAAATGCCTTTATGTAGCGGTGGAGGAGACTCGGCTGCTGCTGCTGCTGCTCCTGCTGCTGCTGCTGCAGTTGCTGCTGCTGCTGCAGTTGCTGCTGCTGCTGCTGCAACTCTTTATAAGTACTCTAAGGAATGAAGTGTTAAAGAATATTTACCTCCAGGTTTCCTTAATATGCTCACAGAAAGACAGCCTTCTGCCCCCATAACATGCGCCACCACAGCAGCAGCAGCGGCAGCAGCAGCGGCAGCAGCAGCAGCAGCAACAGCAGCGCCATCGGGTGCCCTGCTGGATGCATGAGTGTGTCGGCAGCAGCAGCAGGAGGTGTGCTGCAGCTGCTGCAGCATAATAAAATATATTTATTTTCTTCTATAGAAGGACTATTGCTGCTGCAGATCCTATTGATTGCTGCGGTGTACAGACACCGTAGTACTCTTACCTACGATCCTACGAGCTGCTTCTTGCATGCATTTTGCTGCTGCTGCTACTGCAGTTGCTGCTGCCGCTGCTGCTGCTCCCTTTCTCCATCTACAAAAGTTTCCCTAAAGAAATAAATCTGTTGACTGCGCATAGCTTCCCTGTTCCCAACGGAGCTGCTGCCTCTGTTGCTGCTGCTGCATCTGCTGCTGCTGCTGCTCATGCTGCAGCAGGACCTTGGATGGGCGCAGAGCTGCAGCAGAGAAAGTACCAAAGTCGTGTAAACAGCAGCAGAACTCCTTGCGGCTCACATACCTACAGAGACGCGCAGCAGCAAGTACAGCAGCAACCCCTGCAGCAGCAGCAACAGCAGCAGCAGCAGCAATAGTGTTTGTTGCTGTGGTCAGCATATATAAGCATCTTCTTCTCCTCTTCCTTATAACACATCAACCCCTCCCCCATCAACAGCAGCAGCATCAACAGCAGCAGCAGCAACAGCAGCAGCAGCAGGAGGAGAAGATGATGGATACACCTTTGCGCCTAACATGTATAGCTATACTAGATGCAGCAACAGGAGACCGTATATGCAGCCAGTACCCTAAGAGGGCCCCCCTTGGGGGCCCCCCTGTCTATTGTACATTTGATACCCAAAGGAAGTTTGAATTAAAACTTCATCAGGCTATGGTCAAGATTA